GTGTGTTAGTACTGTGTGTGTTAGTGTAGTGTACCTACACTGTGTGTTAGTACTGTGTGTGTTAGTGTAATGTACCTACACTAAGTGTGTTAGTACTGTGTGTGTTAGTGTAGTGTACCTACATTAAGTGTGTTAGTACCGTGTGTGTTAGTGTAGTGTACCTACACTAAGTGTGTTAGTAATATGTGTGTTAGTGTAGTGTACCTACACTAAGTGTGTTAGTACTGTGTGTTAGTGTAGTGTACCTACACTAAGTGTGTTAGTACTGTGTGTTTTAGTGTAGTGTACCTACACTAAGTGTGTTAGTACTGTGTGTGTTAGTGTAATGTACCTACACTAAGTGTGTTAGTACTGTGTGTTAGTGTAGTGTACCTACACTAAGTGTGTTAGTACCGTGTGTGTTAGTGTAGTGTACCTACACTAAGTATGTTAGTACTGTGTGTGTTAGTGTAGTGTACCTACACTAAGTGTGTTAGTACCGTGTGTGTTAGTGTAGTGTACCTACACTAAGTGTGTTAGTACTGTGTGTGTTAGTGTAGTGTACCTACACTAAGTGTGTTAGTGGAGTGTGTTAGTGTTCAGTGTTGTACACAGTCAGTGTAGAGTGTTCTTACACGTACAGTGTGTTAGTGTGTGTGCCCATACCTAAGCGAGTGTAGTCATGCGCTGTAGTGTGTTAGAACTCTCGATATGGTGTATTAGTGTGGTGTGTTAGTTCAGTGTGTACCTATACATAAGCTAGTGTATCATATACTGCGTTATACTCTTGTACCGTGTTAGTACTCTACATGGTGCCCATGTGGTGGTGTTAGTACTGTGTAGTGTGTTAGTACTGTGTAGTGTGTTAGTACTGTGTAGTGTGTTAGTACTGTGTAGTGTGTTAGTGTAGTGTGTTAGTACTGTGCAGTGTGTTAGTACTGTGCAGTGTGTTAGTACTGTGTAGTGTGTTAGTACTGTGTAGTGTGTTAGTGTAGTGTTAGTACTGTGTAGTGTGTTAGTACTGTGTAGTGTGTTAGTACTGTGTAGTGTGTTAGTACTGTGCAGTGTGTTAGTACTGTGCAGTGTGTTAGTACTGTGTAGCGTGTTAGTACTGTGTAGTGTGTTAGTACTGTGTAGTGTGTTAGTACTGTGTAGTGTGTTAGTACTGTGTAGTGTGTTAGTACTGTGTAGTGTGTTACTGCTGTGTAGTGTGTTAGTACTGTGCAGTGTGTTAGTACTGTGTAGTGTGTTAGTGTAGTGTGTTAGTACTGTGCAGTGTGTTAGTACTGTGCAGTGTGTTAGTACTGTGCAGTGTGTTAGTGTAGTGTGTTATTACTGTGTAGTGTGTTAGTACTGTGCAGTGTGTTAGTACTGTGCAGTGTGTTAGTGTAGTGTGTTAGTACTGTGTAGTGTGTTAGTGTAGCGTGTTAGTACTGTGTAGCGTGTTAGTACTGTGTAGCGTGTTAGTACTGTGTAGTGTGTTAGTACTGTGTAGTGTGTTAGTGTAGTGTGTTAGTACTGTGTAGTGTGTTAGTACTGTGTAGTGTGTTAGTACTGTCTAGTGTGTTAGTACTGTGCAGTGTGTTAGTACTGTGCAGTGTGTTAGTACTGTGTAGTGTGTTAGTACTGTGCAGTGTGTTAGTACTGTGCAGTGTGTTAGTGTAGTGTGTTAGTACTGTGTAGTGTGTTAGTACTGTGCAGTGTGTTAGTACTGTGCAGTGTGTTAGTGTAGTGTGTTAGTACTGTGTAGTGTGTTAGTACTGTGTAGTGTATTAGTGTAGTGTGTTAGTACTGTGTAGTGTGTTAGTACTGTGTAGCGTGTTAGTACTGTGTAGCGTGTTAGTACTGTGTAGTGTGTTAGTACTGTGTAGTGTGTTAGTGTAGTGTGTTAGTACTGTGTAGTGTGTTAGTACTGTGTAGTGTGTTAGTACTGTGCAGTGTGTTAGTACTGTGCAGTGTGTTAGTACTGTGCAGTGTGTTAGTACTGTGCAGTGTGTTAGTACTGTGCAGTATGTTAGTACTGTGCAGTGTGTTAGTACTGTGTAGTGTGTTAGTGTAGTGTGTTAGTACTGTGTAGTGTGTTAGTACTGTGCAGTGTGTTAGTACTGTGCAGTGTGTTAGTACTGTGTAGTGTGTTAGTACTGTGTAGTGTGTTAGTACTGTGCAGTGTGTAGTGTCTCGAGTCTCCTACACGTAGCAGGTCGGGGTCGAGAGAGACGGAGCCTGTCAGACGATGTCCCGGGGCCTAATTCCCCTTTGTCTGAAGTTCAACACAAAGAGTGGAGTGGTCTCCACAGACACGTCACTCCATTGTGTGTGCTGTGGTGTGTGTGCAGTGGTGTGTGTGCTGTGGTGTGTGTGCTGTGGTGTGTGTGCTGTGGTGTGTGTGCTGTGGTGTGTGTGCAGTGGTGTGTGTGCAGTGGTGTGTGTGCTGTGGTGTGTGTGCTGTGGTGTGTGTGCTGTGGTGTGTGTGCTGTGGTGTGTACAGCGTGTGTGTACTGTGGTGTGTGTGATGTGGTGTGTGTGCTGTGGTGTGTGATGTGGTGTGTGTGATGTGGTGTGTGTGCAGTGGTGTGTGTGCTGTGGTGTGTGTGCTGTGGTGTGTGTGCTGTGGTGTGTACAGCGTGTGTGTACTGTGGTGTGTGTGATGTGGTGTGTGTGATGTGGTGTATACTGTGGTGTGTGCTGTGAGTATGTGCGCTCTGATGAGTATTGTGTCATATTCTATGTGAGTAACTGTGTACTGTGTGAGTACGGTAACTGTGTGTGTACTAAGTAGTGTGTGCATGTTGTAAATGTGTGCGTGTACTGTGAGTAGTGTGTACTGTGAGTATGCTATGAGTAGTATGTGCATGCTGTAAATGTGTGTGCCTGTACTGTGAGTAGTGTGCACTGCGTGAGAAATGTGTGTGTGTGTGTATTTTGCGTGTTAGCCGGGCGGTGGTGGTGGCTATGTATAATCCGGCACTATGGAGGCAGCAGCGAGGGTTGGTGGATCACACACGGATGTTGTGAAACTTCCTTCCCGTGGGCGTCGATGAGGAGGCACAACCCTGGCTGCCCAGAAGGCAGTACAGCAAGTGGACTAATCGCCAACTGTTCACATCTGTACGGGGGGTGGGGAGGGGGGCGGGATAGAGCGTTGCACCCTTGCGCACGTGTGGGTCTTCTCCAGTTGCTCCGGTTTCTCTCCCACGTGTAATAGTAAACAAGAGTCGTCATCGATTGGCTGAAAACGTCTTAAAATAAAGAAAACCAATGCAGCAGGACCACTTTATGGAGAAATAAGTAATTTATAAAATAAGTGTGTGTGTGTGGCTTGTTAACAGCCCCACGCGTGCACACACACTGCATTGAGCCATATAAGCTACTTGCACAAGGGCTGTCTGTGTGTTGTAACTTGCCCCAACAGCCTGTTAAGGCTATACGGGGGATATTTGTCTTTTGTATAAAAGTGTGTGTGTATTTACAGTGGGAGAGGTTGTGCAATTACAACTGTGTGAATTAATGATTATGAATAATGAGTTGTGTGTTTGAGAGTCAAGAAATGGGACACGAGTGCGTGTGTAAGGCCTTTGATACAAATGCCAGGGCAATGGTGCATGTGTCCGGGTATTGATACATGTTCTAGACCACTTTTAGAAGTGCAAATCCATTGGTACACATGCCAGGCAATTGGTATATTTAACAGGGCATTGCTACACTCTTAGGGCATTCCATCCATGCCCTTGTGCATTCTGGACACCACTGCCCCAGGCAGCACGGAGGAGAAAAGCCGACGTGGGAAGCGAGGCCTCTGGACGGGAAATTAACCGGATGGGAGGAACAGGGATCACGGGGGTGAGGGGGGGGGTGAGGAGGGGTCGATGGGGGAGACTGGAAGGGAGGAAACAGCGAGGTCCATTGATGGGAGCCGAGTCGAGGCTCTGGGAGCCGAGTCGAGGCTCTGGGAGCCGAGTCGAGGCTCTGGGAGCCGAGTCGAGGCTCTGGGAGCCGAGTCGAGGCTCTGGGAGCCGAGTCGTGGCTCAGGGAGCCGAGTCGAGGCTCAGGGAGCCGAGTCGAGTCTCTGGGAGCCGAGTCGAGGCTCTGGGAGCCGAGTTGCCTTAGCCGTGTGATTGGCTGCAGGGAGCTGGACCGCAGCGCGTGTGTGCATGGATCTCGAGTTAATTCGCGATGACCATAGGGTGGAACACTGTCCGCTCTGCTCGAGGGAGAGCGTGGGAGATCTGAAGAGGAACGGAGCGAGAAAGTGAGAGCGAGAGAGAGAGATAGTGCTCCTCATCAATACTGTAATGCGAGCACACACGTGTGACAAAGGTGTGATGAGGTGTGATGAGGTGTGACCCTGCACGGCCAGGTCAGGTCCTGTAGCGGAGAGGATGAGGGTTCTGTATCGGATGAAACTTGGGTTCTGTATTGGACAAGATGAGGGTTCTGTATGAGATGAGACGGGAGTTTTGTTTGGGATGAGGGTTGTGTATCGGATAGGACAAGGGTACTGTCTCGGTGGAGACGAAGGTTCTGCATCGGACTGGACGGCGCCTCTGTGCGGCGAGCTGCGTGGCACTGCGCCCAAAACTTTGTGTTCACACGTCCCCCCCTCCCCAGCACCCCCCCCCAGGCCGGGGCTGTTAATTACAAACAGGCCTCAAGCCGTGGGCCGGGTTGAACCCATGACGCAGCTGAGCCTGGGATGTTGCCCCCCACTCCCCCTCCCGGCCGCCCCCCCCAGCAGTGTCAGCCCACTGCTGGATAAGTGTGGCTCGTTCGGGGTTTCCCGTCTTCGAGAGGCAGCGTGTCGGGGGGAGGGCGGCCACCGCTGTTGTGAAGGGGACCCCGAGTGATGGAGCGCGGAGAAGCTGGCGCGTTAAAGCCTCTGCTCGGTGCATCGGGTTAACCAACTTGGCGTGCCGGCTCTTAAATACCATGACATCACCGCCGCCCGGTGATCCGTAATCTCGTCATCACTCTGCATCTACTAAAGTGACCCCCACGTGCCGCCCTCCCATCTTCACCCGCAGGTTGCATTGTGGGAGGTTGACAGGATGGCTACTCACAGGACGGTGCCGGGCCGAGGCCAGGATGTTGACGCGGAGTCGCTGCTCAGCGGACTCTCGGCGGACGAGCTCAAGCAGCTGGCGGAGGATCTGCAGGACATGGACCCGGACGTGAGACGTCGGGGAGAGACGTCGGGGACCCAGACATGAGACACGGGGAGAGAGGCACGGGGAGAGAGGATCTGCAGGAGGACATGGATCCGCACTAAAGTAGTTAAAGATCTCCTGACTTAAATTGAAATGGCTAGGCCATTGTGTGCCAGCATCATGATCCAAATTTGCCAAAAAATTAGAATTAACCACCGCAGCTATCATCGCCCCCTATTGGCTGACTAATGACCGCTTGCAGGCCAGGTGCTGAGTCGCATAGTGCAGCACAGGGTCATCTGCCACTGGGGGTGCTCCTTTGAAATGCGCTGAGATGAGATGCCAGTCGCTTATCGCGTGTGGAGCGTTCTCAGAGACGCCACTGACATGGAGGAGGGTGGCTCCGTCTAACGCTGCAACTCGGTCTCATCGTTATTACCCATAAACCCCACCAACAATCGGAGGGCGGAACATTTGCTTGTTACCTCCCTCTCTTCCCTCGTCCTCCCTCTCGTCTCCATTGTCTCCCTCGCCTCCCTCTCCTTCATTTTCTCCCTCTCCTCCCTCTTCCAGAAACGTGCATTTAGACTATTTGGCTGCTGTACATTTCCACATGATAAGCCACTTCGTTGAACTATTATTTGTGGCCAGGTCGCTTCTGAAAAATAAATATGTAGCTTAGTGGGCCTTACCTGGTAAAATAAAATAAAAAATAATTTATAGTTCTCTCCTCCCTCGCATTCCTCTCCTTCTGTCCATCTCCTCTTCCTATCCTCCCTCTCCTCCCTCGCTTCCCTCCCCTCCCTCACCTCCTCCTCCCTCTCCTCTCCTCCCTCTCCACAGAACGCGCTGCTCCCCGCCGCGTTCCGACAGAAGGACCAGACGACAAAGGCGCCGGCGGCGCCGTTCAACCGCGAGGAGCTCCTGCGCTTCCTGGAGACGCAAGCGCGGGAGCACCGTGACCGCGAGGACCTGGTGCCCTTCACCGGCGAGAAGAAGGGTGAGGGGAGGAGGGGGAGAGCTGGGAGAGGAGGAGGAGGGGGGGGGAGAGGAGGAGGAGGAGGAGGAGGGGGGAGAGGAGTAGGAGGAGGGGGGAGAGGAGTAGGAGGAGGGGGGAGAGGAGTAGGAGGAGGGGGGAGAGGAGTAGGAGGAGGGGGGAGAGGAGTAGGAGGAGGGGGGAGAGGAGTAGGAGGAGGGGGGAGAGGAGTAGGAGGAGGGGGGGAGAGGAGTAGGAGGAGGGGGGAGAGGAGTAGGAGGAGGGGGGGAGAGGAGTAGGAGGAGGGGGGAGAGGAGTAGGAGGAGGGGGGAGAGGAGTAGGAGGAGGGGAGAGGAGGAGGAGGAGGAGGGGGGAGAGGAGGAGGGGGGGAGAGGAGTAGGAGGAGGGGGGAGAGGGAGAGGAGGAGGGGGAAGAGGTGTGGGCCTGGGCTTAATTATAATGACAATCACAACCAAGTGGTGTCACTGCATGCAAACTTCACGATGTGGTTGCAAGATGATTACAACAAATGGAGTCGCTAGCGTAATTGACCCGATGCCTGTCGTCGGGAAAGGCACGGGGGAGGCGAGAGGGCGTCCCCGTGAGTTACGGTTACGATCGCGGGAGGCTGGGGCTGCTCAGAGGCGATGATTCTCGCTCAGTGATAAATCGCGGAGCCGGGAGCAGCGACGCGGAACGTAAAGCGCGTGCCGAGCATGCGCGCGTGTCTGTGTGTGCATGCGTGTGCGTCGACTTGTGCCCGCGTGTCTGTGTGTGCATGCGTGTGCGTCGACTTGTGCCCGCGTGTCTGTGTGTGCATGCGTGTGCGTCGACTTGTGCCCGCGTGTCTGTGTGCCGACGCGAAGGTGCGTGTCTGTGCGTCCGTCTCCCTGTTTGTGTCAACTTGGCCTTAAATGAGCACCTGGTGGTGGCGGCGGCCGTGTGAAGTAAACATCGGCAATGGGGAGACAAAGGCGGCTGGCCGTGGTGCTGTCCACCCATCCCCTCCTCCTGTGTTGTGCCATGCTGGCCTGAACAGGAGCGTCCTGCTATATTGGGTTTTTATTAGAAGATGTGTTTCGGCTAAGTAAAGATGACCGTTTATTATTATTATTATTATGATACAAGTAGGAGGAAACCGGAGCACCCGGAGGGAACCCACACAGATGGCGTCAGTCCACGTGCTGTGCCGCCTTCTCTGTCGGCGTAATCGGGCGAGGGTGTGAGAGCGCCTCGTTTGAGGCCGAGTCGACCTAGGGGAGGCCCAGGAATGGTGATGCCCCTACGCACGGCAGCAAAAACGTCGCACCCCCCCCCACCCAATACTGCGTAACCTCACCAGGAACCCCGTGAGAAAGCCTCCAGGGCTTTCCCCGGAGTAAATGGCCTCGCTCATCACCACACGGAATGACGGACAATCGGACAAGGTCCACGTACATCAGTGGGCGAGTATCTGGAGGCGCTTTGCACTTTGACCCCTGCCACCCCCGCACCCCCCCCCTTCTCCAATTCCCCCCCACCCCCACCTGGTGCACTCACCTGTGCACAGGTAAGGAGTTTGTCCCGAAGGTGAAACCAATGCCGGTGGAGGAAAAAATGGCACTGGACCCCGAGCTGGAGGAGGCTCTGACCGGAGCCACGGATGTGGAGCTGTGCGACATCGCTGGTCAGCGGCACCCCAACATGTCGCACACGCCACACACGCACACACCCCGACACGTCACACGCACACCCACAACACGTCACACGCACACACCCCGACACGTCACACGCACACACCCCGACACGTCACACGCCAAACACACACACAACACGTCACACGCACACCCACAACACGTCACACGCACACCCACAACACGTCACACCCACACACCCACAACACGTCACACGCACACCCACAACACGTCACACGCCAAACACACACACAACACGTCACACGCACACACCCCGACACGTCACACGCATACCCACAACACGTCACACGCACACACCCCGACACGTCACACGCACACCCACAACACGTCACACGCCACACACCCACACACCCACAACACGTCACACGCCACACACCCCGACACGTCACACACACACCCCAACGTGTCGCACCGCGCACACCCTGACGACGGCTGTACGTACACATGCGTGTACACACACACACACTAATACCATGCATGCATTAACCCTGTGTGCACGACAGCCATTCTGACCCCTACACTGCCCTGTGACTCATTGCCCTAATGACCCTCGTGTACCCCTGTGACTCCTACCTCACCCACAGCCATCCTGGGCATGCACACCCTGGTGAGCACCCCGCAGTACTACAGCGCCCACAAGGGCACGAGCCACGCGGACGGCATCGGCAGTGAGTTGCAGTCACACATTGCCGCCATCATCACGCTCATCGCCGTCGCGCCCTCACCATCATCCTCGCGGCCTGTACGCAGGGCCAGGGTGCTGCTGAGTCACATTGTGTCGCACAGGGACAGCTGTCGCTGGGGGTGCTCTCTTAAAATGTGTTGGGATTTAGATGCGACGCAAGCCATTTTGAGCGACTGAGACATACATTTTTTGCATGAATGCAACAGTTTTTTTGTTTATGTACTTACGTGTTTGTGTGCGCATGCGGTTGGTTTTGTACGTGTGTGCGTACACGTGTGTGTGTGTGTGCGTACACGTGTGTGTGTGTGTGTACACGTGTGTGTGCGTACACGTGTGTGTACACGTGTGTGTACACGTGTGCGTGTGTGCGTGCGTACACGTGTGTGTGTGTGCGTACACGTGTGTGTGTGTGTGCGTACACGTGTGTGTGTGCGTACACGTGTGTGTGTGTACGTACACGTGTGTGTGTATGCGTACACGTGTGTGTGTATGCGTACACGTGTGTGTGTATGCGTACACGTGTGTGTGTGTGTGTGTGCGCGTACACGTGTGTGTGTGTGTACGCGTGTGTGCGTGCACAGGTGTGGTGCGCGCCGAACCCATGCGCCCCATGCCCGAAGAGCCCCCCAACCCCACGGACGTGGAGGCAACGCTGCAGCGTATCCGTGACAACGACCCCCGCCTCCAGGAGGTCAACCTCAACAACATCAAGGCAAGCGGCCCCCGAGCATAACAGGGCCCTCCCCCCACAATAACAGGGCCCTCCCCCCAGCATAACAGGGCCCTCCCCCCAGCATAACAGGGCCCTCCCCCCAGCATAACAGGGCCCTCCCCCCAGCATAACAGGGCCCTCCCCCCACCATAACAGGCAGGGCCCTCCCCCCAGCATAACAGGGCCCTCCCCCCACCATAACAGGGCCCTCCCCCCACCATAACAGGGCCCTCCCCCCACCATAACAGGGCCCTTCCCCCACCATAACAGGGCCCTTCCCCCACCATAACAGGGCCCTTCCCCCACCATAACAGGGCCCTCCCCCCACCATAACAGGGCCCTTCCCCACCACCATAACAGGGCCCTCCCCCCACCATAACAGGGCCCTCCCCCCACCATAACAGGGCCCTTCCCCACCACCATAACAGGGCCCTCCCCCCACCATAACAGGGCCCTCCCCCCACCATAACAGGGCCCTCCCCCCACCATAACAAGGCCCTCCCCCCACCATAACAGGGCTCCCCACAAAACTTCACCTCATCCTCAAAGGGAGACCTGGAACAATTCAGAGTCACGATGAGTAACTCGGTGTCTTCGCAGCATGACTGGAGGGTGATTTGGTGTGACTGAGGGCCTTTATGGGTGAATCTGAAACAAGAATGCCCTGGGAATACTTGAAGCGAACTCAGAGGTCACTCAGAGGTCACTCAGAGGTCACTCAGAGGTCACTCAGAGGTCACTCAGAGGTCACTCAGAGGTCACTCAGAGGTCACTCAGAGGTCACTCAGAGGTCACTCAGAGGTCACTCGATGGTGACTTGATGGTGACTCGGTGGTGACTTGATGGTGACCTCAAGGGCGACTTGGGGGGGTTGAATCTGACCGCTCGACCCCACAGAGCATCCCGATCCCAACGCTGAAGGAGTACGCGGAGGCGCTGAAGAGGAACACCCATGTCACGTCGTTCAGCCTCGCGGCCACGCGCAGCAACGACCCCGTCGCCCTGGTGAGGCCCACCGCCTCACCGCTCCTCACCTCCTCAACGCTCCACACCTCCTCGCTGCTACACATCTCTGCGCTACGCACGTCTTCCCCTCCACACCTCCTCACACGGGGCACCTCGGGTCACGTGATCTCCTGGTTGGTCTGCCCTCTCATCGTCTCCCGTCTCCTCTCCTTGGCATCTTCGCGATCCTCTTGACTCCTGTCCCCGCCAACTCCCCCGTGCCCCCCACCTTGCCCAGGCACTGGCGGACATGCTACGGGAAAACCGCGGGCTGCGCAGCCTCAACGTGGAGACCAACTTCATCACGGGCAGCGGCATCCTAGCCATGGTGGAGGCGATGCACGATAACGACTCGCTCAGCGAGCTCAAGATCGACAACCAGGTGGGGCGCGGGGAGGGCAGGGGGGCGTGGGGTGACAGGGAATGGGGGTAGTGGTGGCGATGTGGGGGATGTTACAGAGGCCGCTGGTGGTTGATGTAAAGATGTTGATGCTCGTATTGTTGATGATGATTGCGGTGATAGTGATGATGTTGGCGGTGATGTTACAGAGGCAGCAGCTGGGGAACCACGTGGAGATGGAATTGGCTCGCCTGGTGGAGGAGAAGACGACGCTGCTGAAGCTGGGATACCACTTCCTGCAGCAGGGGCCCCGCACGCGGGCAGCAGACGCAGTCACCCGCAACAACGACCTGAGTGCGGGACGCTGGCGGCACACGCATCGCACACGCATCGCACACGCATCGCACACGCATCGCACACGCATCGCACACGCACGCACTCGCTTGCATACACACACACACCACACTCGCCCACACACCCACGAACGCGCACGCATTTTTTTGTCGTGAGGGGTGGTGGCGCAGTAGTTAGCGCGCTGCTCTACAAACCCAGCGACCCGAGTTCGATTCCCGCTCACGACCAATAAGTGGCAAAATATCTAAACTGGTTCTGGGCCTCCATGAGGTCAACTCCACCTTTAAATGAGTACTTGGTGCGGTGTGTATAAAACATCAGCAGCAGGGTGTGGTGCTGGTGGCCACCCACCCACTCGTGCCCCATGCTGGCTTTTGTAGGCGCTCGTCACGTACAAGTCTGTTGATGGCTGCACGGGGAATCTTTGCGTTTACGTGTCGCTCTGCGTCTCGCCTGCAGTTCGACAGAAGAGGCTGGAGGGGTGAGACGCGGCCATCCACGGAGAGGACAGCTGGGCCACGGCCACCCTGGGCCAACACCGCCAGCCCAGGTCCCATCTCCTCCAGGTCCATTGTCTTGGGCCTCCCCAGCTGGTATCCCCTCTTCTCCTCCACGCTCACCCACCTGCCAGCACTACCACCACCCCACCCGCCGCCACCCTCGCCCTTGGTGCCACCCGCACTGGAGTCGGCATAGTCGAGGTCATGTGACCTCGTGACCCCAGCCTCGCCTGGACGGGGACCAATTGACGCGATGACGATTGGGACGTGACAGCTCTCCTTCCGCCCCCCACCAACTTCCTCCACCCATGCCCCCCCCCTCCCCCGGCCTCCCGTGATTGATTAATCTTCCACGACATTCGAAGTGATAACAATTCGACCGAAATTACAACCATTACCATCGTGGTGCGATGGTTAAATCATTTCATCATAACCATCATCATAACCATCATCGTCATCATCATTGGTTTACAACGCGAACATTCCTGACCAGCTATCAAACCTGGGGACAATTCCACGGATGGTCCTCACTTCGGTCCAATCCAACCGTGCTCCAGGTTTTCCAGATAGAAATCCGTGGCAGCTCTCTACCCCGGCTATGTTTCCATTACATTCCCACGTACAATTCCCGCGGCGGTTAGAAATCCGAGGAAGCTCCCAATTTTTCGCTCCAAGAAATCGTGATCCCTTTTTTTCCCGACCTTTGGAACCTAAAAAAAGGCGCTTCCGTGGATTTCCCATTATTATCCTCGCCGGATGAGAGCAGCAGCACCTTGTTGCACGTGTCGGGGCCTGCGCCAGGCTTCTCCACGTGGCGGTAGTGGTGTAACCGTCACCGTTGTCGCCATCGTCATCGTTTTGATATTTTGTTGCCGACGAGGCCGGCGGTTGCATGTTTTGTATCGTTTTGCTAGGGTTCATCTTTATCGCGTTTTTCATTCTCGGGGTGGGTTTTTGTGTTTACGTGAGAGTTTCGCCGTCCTCTGCCATACATCGCCGCGTCGCCCTGCAAACGACGTCCGGACGTCGTCGCCGCCGCCGCCATATTAACGAGGTCGGGGTCGAGGACGAGTAGCCGAAGGGTCACCACCTCGTCCCGGTTTTCCGCCCAGATCGCGTTGTCGCTCGTGGAGAGAAAGAGAGGCAGCCGCCGCAGAGCTGGCAAAACAAAATCTGTCGGTCTTCCCTCGAAACATCAACGCTCGCGGTTATTGTCACCTTCCTAGGAGTATTGACGGTAATGCGACACCACTCGAGGCAATCCTACTGACAAGTACTGTACCATATTCTCCAGAGGCCGACAAAGACAAAGATCCGCCGTACAGCTTTAAGCAGACTTTTGGTGGAAAGTACCGTTGGCGGGCACTTTTTGAAGGCCGGCACGAGGTGGGTGGGGGTTGCCAGCGCTGTGCCCGACCGCCTCCCCAGTGTTGATGGTTTACACACCGCACCAGCTACTCATTTGAGGCTGAGTCGACCTAGGGGAGGCCCGTAATCGGTTCAGATTTTCACAGTCATCGTCATTGGGTCATGCGAGCGGTAATCGGAACTGGGAGGGAGGGGGGGGGGTCTCCCAGGTTTTAAGCGCCGCTAGCTGCTGTGGCACTGCTCACCGCGCGTCCAAATCTGGCCACGCACCCAGCTCTCGGATTAAGTCGCACCACCCCCAAGCTTTGCTTTGAAATGCAGGGGGAATGGCGTGCGTCGTGTGAACCCAGAGAATACGACAGCTCCTCTTCCTCTGCTATCGCGAGATCCTCCTGCTCCGCCAGCGCCCGATTCTTGTGTGCGTGCGATCTCGGCGGCTTGACAAGGCGAGCCCAGAGGGCCTCGTCGCCTCTACCTCGTTAGTCCCCGACGATGATGTAGGCGGCCGGCACCCCCCCCCCCCCGCCCCCGTCGTGTTTTGAGCGCGAGAGAGAGAACTGGAGAATTCAGCAAACTAGGAAACGCAAGTGTCCATGCATTAAAGCGCAGGTGGGTAAAAGTGGGGGGGGTGCCTCGTGACATCGCCCCCCACCCCCCTCGCCCCCCCCCCACCCCGCGTGTAACGGTGCAGCCGCCAACTTGACACGCGTGGGACCCCAGAGCGAGGGGGTCCCTTTGGTGTGATTCACCCCCCCCCCCCACTTATGCTGGGCCCCTGGGCATTTTAGGTCCCCCTAAAAGGTAGGCGGGTTCCCAGGTATGATTCTTGGGTGTCGAGGGCTTCTCCCATAGATAAGACCCCCCCCCACCCCCGTGGAAGTGAAGCGAGCCCCCCTAGATTATAGCCCCTAGGTGTGGGTCTCCCCCTCCCTTTTTTTTAAACAGCCCAAGGTCTGACGCCCCCCCCCCCCCACTCCGTGCTCCCAATATACGTGTCTGGGTCTACCCATACTTCACCGCAGGGTGTTGGTGACCAGGCCCCCCACCCCACGTGTGTGTGGGGGGGGGGGGGTGAATCGTGGCTCTTTATTTTTGCTTGGGGGAAGTTCACGGCTCCAGCAAGAATCCGGGTGACGTCACACAAACTCATTCCGGTGACGTCACCACACATTCCTGAGCTATGCAGCCGGACCCCCCCTCTCAATCCCTCCGCCCCCCTCTGCGGGGGAGGGGCGGGGTAGGAACTCACCCTCCGCCCATGACGTAAAGAGCCCCGTCAATCCACTGCTGGATGAAGGGCCACCCCACGCCGCCATCTGACGAATTATTGGGGAGGGGGTTTAATCATTTGACCATACTTCACCGCGCTGGTCAATGCGGGTTGGGGGTTTGCATGGGAGCATAAAAGTACAGCGCTACCTGCCCTGTGTTAGCCACCACATAGCCACCCCGCCCGTTACATCGACCCCTGGTATACGGTGTACCCTGGCATGGGAGTCTGGACAATTGAAAAGTGGTCCTTCACGTGACTCTCAATACACAAGCCTCTCATTCGTGCATTGCAGCCTCATTCGTGAAGTCGTGCGTGAGCCACCTGTGCTATAATAAACAAATAAAGTATCGATCATCGTGAGCACGGACTGTGAAGTGTTCATTCGGTTGCAGAACGATTTGGACCGAGGCCACGAGCCTCGTTTGCAGGAGTGTTGTGCTTACATGGGGGGGGGGGGGATGATAGTACACAACAACCAAAGATCCCCCGTGTAGCCTTTAACAGGCTGTTTGGGCAAGTGCTGTTCGCGAGTCGACAGAATGGTACCACGCCCGGCCGTCTTTATCTCCCCCAGTGCCGATGTTTGCACTACCAGGTACTCATTTAATGCTGAGTCGACCTAGGGGGAGGCCCAGGACTGGTCACTGATATTGGCCGTTGGTAATATTGAAGGAACTCCGGTCGCCGAGTTCATTGGCGAGTGCGCTCACCACTGCACCACCGCTCTCCGCACGCGCACACCCCTAACCACAAGTCTCTTGCGCAAACACGCTCAAAGCACGTGCACACATCCAGGATAAACTACACATACACCTCGCGTTACTTAAACACCATACACATAGACTCCCTTTATAGCCTTTATCAGACTGTTGGGACACGTCCTGTCGGCGAGTAGCGCCTATGAAGACCAACACGGCACACGAGGAAGTGATGTGATCAGCAGCAGCTGCTGCACATACAATATAAAGCGTCGCTGGTGTTGGCCGTGAGCGGGGATCTCGGATCGCCGCCGGGTTGTGAGCGCGACCACAGCACTGCCTCTCTATGCACGCACCAACAATAGTTACGGACTTTACCAAAGCGGGCAATGCCGACGTTAAAGACCCAGTGGCATCACTGGCCGCAAGCCATTGTCGGCGATGAACACGTGCGGCGATTTCCGTCTCCACCCATCGCGTGAACGACCCCGGACTCGTTACTGCTGCTGCTGGGAGGCAATTGAGATGTGATAACGCCACGCTGTTTGCTGCTGCTGCTGCAATATTGTATACCTACTCTGGTTATCAAAACCGGTTTCCTGTAACCGCTACGAAAACTGGTTCCGGTTTGCGGGACAATCTTGGCTACAATTGTAGTGGCCTTATTGACGTCGGAGACTGTTCACTTGAGGCAACACGTATTTATTACAGACGATTCAATTACAGTGTCGAATCTGATACTTGAAGAGGTAACGGCCTCTTCACCCGTACTCTACAGAGGGAACGTTCCCCGAGCTCTAGCCCACGCTAGCTCCCTGGTTCCCTCTATCCTGATCCTCTCTCAGGAGGCTGTCTGACCTGGCCCAGCTTCGGCGCAGGTCCCGATCACCAGCCACACGAGTCCGGCCCTCAGAAGGACATCGTTCCTCGCGGCTCTGGGGTCGCACCCTGGCTTGCTTTACCCGGCCCTCAGAAGGACAGTGGGCCAAAGGAGTTCCAGGGTCTGGCTAGTCGATCTTCTTTCTTCACTGTCTCTTCATCTTGCTTGAGTCGAACTGCCTCTCAGCTTCCCGGGTCCCACCTTTTATACAGTCCCTCACTGAGGGGTGGGGCTGGGAGGGATCACAGCGTACCCCACAGCCCCCCAAGGTGGTGGCCGTAGCGGACGTGGTTGTGGCCTCCGCCCTACCACCGCGTGTCACCCTCCCGTAACACCTCTACACAATCACAGCTGTGATATCGTTGGATCGTGGCTGGATTATTCGAATAAACCCCTAACTTTGACTCCTGCCTGATCCTTTCATGCAAGCTCAATGAAATGCGTGAGTGGAGTTTGTGTGCCCCCACCACCAGTTTTGCTGAGTGTGTGGGATGGGCGGGGGAGCGGTGGCGCAATGATTCGTGCACTGCGTTACGAACCCGGCCACCAGAGTTTGAGTCCCGCTCGCGGCCTAACTAATACCTGAACATGTCCTGGGTCTCCCCTAGGTCGACTCAGTCTCGCGAGTACCTGGTGCGAAATGTAAAACATCGATCGCCACTGGGAAGACAAAGAGGGCTCGACATGGTGCTGGCAACCACCCCCTCGTCTACCGTGACGGTCTTCATCGCTGTTCATTAACGGCGCTTGCCCCAGCAGCCTGCTCGAGCAGTGTTCTTTACTAACATTCAGAGGGGGGGCCCACTTTCCCCGATAAGACGGCTACATCTGCTGTGCACTGTCGGGGGCTGCTCGCCAGGGGCCGCCAGTAGCCCGTGGGCCTTGTAATGAAGAGCGATGGCTTTAAGGCTGCACGGGGAATGTTGTCTTTGTGAGAGTGTGGCAAAGTGGCAAGCACAGGTTTTGCGTCTGCCACTCATCTCGGTCAACCCACAACACATGGGTCCGTCCAGTTACCTGCCAGCAGCGAGGCCTTCAAAAATTCACGTGATGGCATCAAAGTGGACCTAGCCTGGCACAAGCGCCGTGGCGACGTCACCGCAACCTCGTGGCGAACGGCGGCTGCTGTTGGGAGTTTGTACCTCTACCCCTGTTCTGCATGGGGTTTCCGCCGGGTCCTCCTCTGGCCAAAACTATCCCCATGCTGAAAAGCGACCTAAAAATCACTCAATTTGGATCACACAGCAGCAGCAACATCGCCCCCCCCCCCCCCCACAACTGCGAAAACTTGGCAGGACCCTCCATAAAAAATAACCTTGACACTCGCTCAGGGTTTCCTTTGTGAACAAGCGGACTAGCAATTGACCCAAACACGATATTACGTGATATAACTTCGGTTTTCATGTCTGCACAGCGAGTGGTGGAAAGTCCACATTCCTATGGCAAGGGGCGAGGTTATCCATAGGACAACCGCTATTGGCTTGCTCACTCGAGTTGTCCAGCCTGTGTCCCCCACGTGGTCGCTTCGTTATCGAGAGATGACCCAAAGGGCGACACCTGGCCACACGAGTAGCACACCGTGATTGGATGATGATGATTATTATTAGAGTGCAACCCTGGTCTTGTATTGAGCGGGTGAATGAATGAGTGTGTGAGTGAGGTTGTGCGTGTCTGAGTAATAAAGAAAATATACTTAAAGCGAATATGAAGGGGAGAGCGAAAGCATCTGGGTCCACGTCTCGCATCCCTAACCCCTGCATCCTACATGGTAGAGTCTGACCGCACCCCGGCGCACCCCCCTTTATGTCCCACGGATGGTTGCTGCCGGTAATACAAAGCACGGGAAATGAGGGGTGGAGGTGGTCGTGGGTTTGGGGCGGTTTGAAATCGGTTTATTTGCACTACCGGTAACCGCATGACGGTTACCGGTTTTACCGCACGCACACACAATGCATGTCTAGCAAGCAATGACAGGTGGGTCGAGTTCGATTCCCGCCTACAGCCAATCAATATCGGTCGTGAACTGATAGAACCGGTCTTGGGTCGCTCTCAAATGGGTAGCTGGTGCGGTGCGTAAAATATCAGTACTGGGGGACAAAGCCGTCAGGGGATGGTGCTTAACCACACCACCCCTCTTGTGCGCCGTAGCAGCCGTAATAGATGCTCACACACTAACAGCACTTGCTCCAACGAGCCTATTAAGGGATATACGGTGGATCTGTGTGTGTGTGTATGTATGCATGAGAGGTGTGTGTTGTTGTGGGTGTGGCTGTGGTCGCGTTCCCCAGAGAGATGGGTGGGGGGGAATTGCTGATCACAAATAACATCATCAGCAGCTACACCCTCCTCGGAGTAAGGGATGTGTCACACACTCCCCGAAACCCACAACTCCCACCATACACCATCATCCCATCACATACCCCAAACCCACAACTCCCACCATACACCATCATCCCATCACACACCCCAAACCCACAACTCCCACCATACACCATCATCCCATCACACACCCCAACCCACAGCTCCCACCATACACCATCATCCCATCACACACCCCAAACCCACAGCTCTCACCATACACCATCATCCCATCACACACCCCGAAACCCACAGCTCCCACCATACACCATCATCCCATCACACACCCCAAACCCACAGCTACTACATGGGGTGAGTGAGGGCGTGAATGAGAGGGTGGGTGAGTGGGTGAATTGATAAGTGGGTGAGTGGATGCGTGGTGAATGAGTAAGTGATATTAGCGAGTTAAAGTGAGACCTCAAGACAAAGGGATAGAGTCTCACTTGCAAGAGGGACCTGGGTTGTCACCAACATGACATGAAATACTGTCACCATAAATATCACGTACTGTACAGAAATTAAGCAAAACGAATTCAGAGCAACAACAACTAAATAGTGACCACCACGGGCCCAAGTGCGAGGAATGTCAGGGCCCCCCCTGTCCAATCTGTTCCCTCGCTTCGTCGCCCAGCGCCTGGGCCCCTGCGGCCGCGATGCAGTTGCACCGCCTGCACCCTGGGTAGCTGAGACGCTGTCACCCATCACCTCCCCTCACCCACCAATTACTCTCACCCATCATCTCCCCTCACCCATCATCTCCCCTCACCCACCAATTACTCTCACCCATTCTATCCCCTCACCCATCACCTCACCCATCATCTCCCCTCACCCACCATCTCCCCTCACCCATCACCTCCCCTCACCCACCATCTCCCCTCACCCACCATCTCACCCATCATCTCCCATCACCCACCAATTACTCTCACCCACCATCTCCCCTCACCCATCATCTCACCCATCATCTCCCATCACCCACCAATTACTCTCACCCACCATCTCCCCTCACCCATCATCTCACCCATCATCTCCCATCACCCATCAGCTCCCCTCACCCACCAATTACTCTCACCCATTCTATCTCCTCACCCATCATCTCACCCATCATCTCCCCTCACCCATCATCTCCCCTCACCCACCATCTCCTCCCACCCATCATCTCCCCTCACCCACCATCTCCCCTCACCCACCATCTCACCCACCGTCTCCCCTCACCCACCATCTCACCCACCATCTCCCCTCACCCACCATCTCCCCTCACCCATCATCTCACCCATCATCTCCCCTCACCCACCATCTCACCCACCATCTCACCCATCATCTCCACTCAGCCACCATCTCCCCTCACCCATCATCTCCCCTCACCCACCATCTCACCCATCATATCCCCTCACCCACCATCTCACCCATTACCTCCCCTCACCCAC